CCATTGCATGCTTGTTTTGATTTTGTTGCAGTAAAAAAGATTTCGAATTCACAGTGAACTTTTAGAGAAAGCAGCACAGCAATTAAAAGCAAATTCAGAATTTTTTTACAGCGCTTGAAATACTTTAATATTTATTAATTGGAGAAAACACAATGTCTAAAAAAGGGATAATAGCACTGGCGTAGCTAGTTCTGAGTGGGCCGCGTATCAAAATTCCTTCGGGGCCCTTTTTTAGAAATGAAAGGCCTGTTAGTGGTACTGTAGTTACCAGTAGCGCACACAGGAATTTTTCAAGGGGGTCCAGAGTTGAAAGTTCACCATTCTTGTATCATGCTATTTTTGATTTTGTAGATTTTCAGGAATAAAACATAGTAAAAAACTAATTATTGAATAAATAATTAGCATTAAATAAAATTAATCATTAATAACAAATATTTAATTAAATTTTACGTATTATATACTTAGAATTATAACTATTCGGAAAAAAAGCAAGGGCTTTGGGGGAGGTCCGGACCCCCAGGACCCCCCTTGTGTGCGCCATTGGTAGTTACTCATGTTGGGGCCCCAGTAGCTTGGGGGCTCCGTATCATTGATACGGCGGTAGCTACGCCCCTGGATAATAGCCTTTGTTGCTCCATATCCCATAAAATATGTAACTGTAAATGATTTAGAATTCGCTATCCTAATGTAGGCTTAGTTGTGAATGCATTTTATACTTTTGTTGATTTTATATTCTGTGTGTTCGTATAATTGTAGTATTACATCAAGTTACAATTTTAATATGGAATTATAGGTATAATTCCATATTAAAATTGTATGGGAAAATTGTATGTATTTCTGCTTTTTATGGGAACTATTTTCTGAACGACGAAAATTTTGTAAAACCGCTAGCTTTGCAAGAATTATTATAATTAATGGACAAAAGATATTATACCATCCTGCATTGATTTTGTTTCAAGTACTGAACGCTTCCAGCTGTATGTTTCTGCTCGTTATAAAAATCTACTAACCACAACGAATGTGCCTAATAATTTTAGACCATAATCAGATAATAGTACGATAATACACACCAGCTGGAAACGCTACGTCATGAGAACGTGAGAACTGCGGGTGCGTGAACCCTCCCCATAATCCTCTTATACTAGATCTTTCGAAACGTGAGGCACGGAATTTGGAAACCAGGGGTTACCTCACTGTTTTAACTGTGCCACCAATTCATTAACAGATCATATGGATTAACTGATGTAATTACAAGCGATTTATAAATATTGTGTGTGTCCTAGTCCAAACAGTCATTCAATTCTTCTTTGTTGAGAAAATGCTGCATCGGGGATCAATGCTGAAGAAGCAGAGCCACTGTAACCGTGAGTTCATGTTTTTCATTTGATTTTAAACTATGAAACAGAAAGGGGGCTATTTGACCGCTTAATTTTGAGCCACGGTCAAGTGACGAGGACTACACCTAAGCCGACACCCCATTCTTTAAACTTCCGCACCGCACTAACGTGAAAACACAGATTTAGCATATTATCAGCCCCTCTACACCTCAGGTCTTCAGGGGCATTCGATTTCGAGATTTGACAACACCGGTCACGAGCTCGAAACCATGACCACTCAGCCACCACGGCCAACCCAAGAGATGACGGAATCGAACTTGGGGTCAGCGATATTTACAATCGAATCCTTGTTCCTCTCGAGACTAATCGTAAAAGAGGGCTGATGCACGTGAAATTTGTTGGGGACTCTCAAAATCTTCAGATTTTCGTGACATGGAATCCCCAAACTTTTTATGTTTGTTATGTGGCAGCCTCATGAATTGATCATGGTTTAAAATTATTGGCCACATGGGCTGTTGTAAATGAACTTTTTTTCCAATGGAAAATAGAAGGGGATAATTTGATATTGGAGTATTACACGTCTAGCGTTGCTTGGCGCGATTAAGAAATCGTGTCAAGCAGCCATTGTTGTCGAGTGATAGAAAATCCAAGATGTCTGCTTAGCTGTAAGAAATCGTCAGGAAAATAATTTAAAAATTGCTTTTTCCTGACGAAAGTTTTTGAAGAGCTGAAATAACAGAAAATTTATATGAAATAAAAAGAAAGAATTAAAAAATTTGCTGACATCTTTGTGGAGAGCAGCATCGGAAAAGATGAATACCAGGACTTAAAATAATAATAATAATAATAAAAATAGAATATGTGGAATTTAGAAATGTACCGGAGAAAAGTAAAAATAAGTTAAACATTGAAAACATTGTTTCAAAGGATTTTAAAAAAAGAGTGGGCTTAGGACCACACGATAGAAGTGATAACTTCAAATTTTGTAATGTTATTTCAGGGATTAGTTAGGTGAATAAAAAACAAGGGGACATTAGTATTGTCATGTAAAATTATTTATTCATATGTCTGTTCTCATAAAGTAATATTTTTTGCGAAATACACAATCATATTTGTGAATGAATTGTATTCTAAGAAGGAAACAATAGGTTTATGGTAGCTGAAATAAGTTATAAATGCTTTAGGTTCAAAATTATTTAAATATCTAAACACTCCATCAAGCGTTGTTCTGTACTTCGTCGTGCTTTCATTTGGATCATTTGACATAATTAAATTGAATTTAGATTTAAAAAAAATCTACTAAAGGCTTTGATTTGTCTTTTGAAAAATCTACATTAAAATCCCCCTCAAAATAATAAGAAATTTGTTCAGAAGATTGATCCGGCTTCAGCGTAGGCAACTAAATTTTTGTGAATGAATTCGATAATTTTCTCCACACTTTGATTTGGTGAAATAAATAATAACCATTACAATTATTTGTTCCTTTTCTGCTCTACATTTTGCTGCACAAATTTCTCCGTTACAAGTCTCATTAAACCCAAGTGATTCAGTAGTATTGTTAGTTATGGGCGTTACAAACTCGAGCGTAACAATGCTTGGCTCTTTAAAAAACGCATCATTCAAGTTCACTCTCCAGTAAAATACGCCTAAAGAAGTTGGCACTTAAAAAAAAAACAACTTTAAGCCGAAAAAAAATTATTATCAAGAAAAAACAATTCTTACTGGTTGAGGAATGTCACGAAAGATTATGAATTAGATTTAGTGACTCCCCTTCCCGAAACAATATGCCAGTAAGCCTAATTAATTTTACGTACTATTTCAAGGAATTTATGGGAAAAATCCTCTTTTAATACAAAATAAATTTTTCTAAACATATTCCTCATATTCTTAAAAAAAAATGTATCCTGGTACTCACCAATGATAGTAGAAATATCCATATTTTCGAAAGTAGTTCAAAATACAACAAAAGATTGAAGCAGCAGCTTGAAGAATGAATGCAAAATGAAAATGATTAAATCTGTAAAGAAATCCAATTCAAATCGCCTGAAATTAATACTGTTAAAATATACCTGAAATTAATTGTTACTGCGGGAGAAAAAACCAATAAAAATATTACAACCACATTACTACACGATAAAGATATGAAAAGGTGACCCTATCGCAATGGAATCGCCCATCTTGACGAACATAAAGAACTGCAATCACCACCTTGCCAATGGTTTCCAACGGTTTCCCGACTTTTGACAAAAGGCTATAAGCTTTGCTGGTGATGATATAGAAGGAATGGAATGCAATTGTATTTGTTCGTACATTAAAAAATTATTTATACATATGTTGCCATTATACTTAATTTACAGCCCTCGTAGAATAAACTCAGTTTTATGCTCTTCAATCCTGAGAACTCTGTGACCTGATTTTTTTTTCAAACAAATACGATGACTTTTTCCGACGTGTTTCATAATTATGAGCCTTAGTCAAGTGACAAGAACAACACCCGATCTAGCATATATAACCCCTTCTACTCCAAACTTCCACATCACACCAATGTGAGGGCTTAGAACTTCAATAGATTTAACTAACCTCAAAACCTCTTCATGGCAGGTGTCCAGTAGCTCTAGTCTCGAACCTATGTTTCAACAAAAATAACATCAGCAGTTAGTTCGCTACTGTGACCGTTCGGCCTCAACTCTATTGCCAGGATTTACTTTATGTATTTCACTGTAGTGTCGGATGAAAAGTTTTCAACAACTTCTATTAATTTATTCCTAAACACATTTCTGAGTCGTGGATTCAAAACTTACTTGAGGGATAATTTTTCATTCTTCTCCTCCCCCCTCCCATTGTCTTACCCTCGGCCCCCAGACCGCAGCGGGACTCGGCATTCCGCCGGTGTCAAGCACATGACTGATGAAAACGGTCCAGAGGACTTTTAATTAGAAGGCACGCGACTTTCTTCTCATTAAGATAATCAACAGAAGGAAAAACAGACGAGTCTCTTTTGCTCCGGTTGCCATTGGAGACCCGCGTGGGAGGGGGGCACCTGTCTCTATGGCAACGCTGACAGAAGATAACGGGGGGCCGGGCCCTCCCGTCGTGACATCCCAGTGGGTGGTGTCGCCCTCTTGCCCCCTCCCTCGATTCATCATATCTGTTTCCCTCCGTGTCATATCCTGGACTCTCTCTCTGCCTCTTTGTGTGGCGTTATCAGTGATGATTGTATTCGGAGAGAAAAAGGAACAATTTTCGGGGATGGGTTTTGTTTGATTTGAGACAGACAATCTGGACAGAGTTCACCTGGTGCACTTTGGAATCAAAAGAAACCTGTCCAAATTAAAATTTTTTTTCAAAGGTATTTTATTGCAATACTCATTTTTGTTACCTTTTATTCAATTCTTATTACAGTTCACTCTACCCCTATATATATATATATATATATATATATATATTCATCTTGTTAAAATTTTCAATCGTTAATAAAATACTTTCTATTCCTTCATTCAAGTTCAAATACATTTTTTTAAACTTGTAGTGGATGTGTGACCCTGTGGATCTCAATACAGTTTTTTCAAATATTAATTCATTAAAAATTTAATTAATGAATAATTAGTAACGAACAAATATAATAGTCCAACAGCATATATAGAAAGGACAATCGTTCGTTGTGTCCCCGTAGCGCAACGGATAGCGCGTTGGACTTCTAATCCAAAGGTCGTCGAATCCCACCTGGGATGACCTAATTTCTGAGAATGTGATTTCTTTTTATTATACTATTTTATTGGAATAATAAATTTAGTTAATGAATAAATAGTAACAAACAAAAATAATAGTGCAACACCCTATATAGAAAGGAAAACGGAAAATGACAAGGAAAATCGCTTTCTATTTTGTCACTTAATAGTGTGATTCTGTCCTATGTATATACATATTTATATTAATTGTAACTATTTAATAAAAAATAACTAAAATTAAATTTTTTCTTTGTTGACCTAAGTAGGAATTGACTTAATTTTTTTTTATATATTACTTGTGGAATATTTCTTGCAATACAGGGCGTTGTGCAAGATTTGAATACTTTTTATTTAATACAATTTTGTTCCTAAAGGCAGGGATGGGCAAACAGAGGCCCGCAAGTCACACATAGCTCATAAAGGTTCCCCTGGCTTTTCAAGATAGTCGGAGAACCAAATAGACAGAAAATGTTCTCTTTTTTAGGGGGCGTAGCAACATATATTTGTGTGCAAAGTTTTTCTTGCATGAAGATCAACAAGAGGATACAAAGATACAATTTGATTAACATCGTTTCCAAGACTAATGATGAGAATTTCCACAAGCCATCTCACTCCTGATTTAAAGGGGGACTGTAGAAAAGTTTGATTTACATTTGTCTCATTAAGCTGATCCTAGAATTAAATGTGCTTGAAGCTATGGATGATGTGAAGCTAGAACAGTAAATAAATTGAATAAAACTGCCACAATTTCCTTTAAGGTATCCAACTAATTGCGACAACTTTTTCAATTCCTACTATTAGCTCACACTCTCTGTATATTTATTTATTTATCTTCGTGGAATTTTCAATCGTTAATAAAATACATTTTAAAGCGCTCAATTGAGCTGAAATATTATATATATGATTATTTTGGATGACAATGTAATAAATTAATTATAATTAATAAAAATTAATTACCCCTTAATGTTGTGATTCTGTCATATGTATTTATATTAATTGTGACTATTTAATGCAAAGTAGCTAAAATAAAAATTTTCTTTGTTGATCTAAGTAGGAATTGACTTAATTTTTTTTTTATATTACTTGTTTTTCAAAAAAGATCGAGAATTAGAGATTGTTTTGTGGTTTTTAGATTTATTTAGTACATTTTAAGGAAAAAAAAAAGGCTAAAATTAAGAAGAGAAAAATAAATTATAACTAGTAAAATGGGTAAACATTGACAAAAAAATTACATAAACGGGCCTCTGTACAAATAGTAAATGAACAAATTCTCAATTTTTCAATTTGAATGTTATACTCTGCTATTCCTTTTAGAAATGACCTTCAGAATAAGAGATATTTCAATTTTCACAAAAACTAGAGCACTTTATCTCAGCTATTATATGAAATTGTTTAAAAAAACAGTGATTATGTTCACATAAAGAAACAAAAGTTAAATAAAACAGTGATTGATAAATCTAAAGGTTAAAAATACTTATACTATTATACAGAACATACACACAAAATTTCAGCAGGTTATTTTAAAAACTTTTTGAGCAATCACTATCCCCGTTTGAACTTTTCGAAAAAAAAGCACATTTCGAGTAAAAACGCATTTTAAAGTTTTGACAACTTATGTAAAGTTATGGCATCTGCTTTTACCAAAACACTTGTATTTTTTTGTTCAAGTGAACGGAAAATAAAAAACTTGGTATTTTTATAAAGCTAATAAGATGGTCTATAAAATAAAATCATAAAAAAAATTGACTTTAGGGTAGTCGTATACCTTAACTTGTATTTACTGAATTTTGTGGTAAAATTAAAACCTTTTTTTAGATGTAAACTTATATAACTAAGGCATGATATCCTTTTAAAAAGGAGTAGCCCTCCAATATGGGCTCTCGAGCCAAAACAATCCCCTTCCCTTACCGTAATGGTAATGTAAATTCAAAAAAATTAAAATTGTTATAAAATCACCACTTATACTGTCTTGTCAAAAAAATTATAGATGAAAAGCTCTGATTTTATTCTTAAAATGTCTTCCGTCTCTTCTCACTTAGAATATTTTTCTTTGTATCGTGCTTAGAATAAGTTAAACTTGTAAAAAAGTTTTAAAAAGTTGGAAAAGAATTTAATGCGACAGATAAATATGTAATTCCCTCAAGAAAAGACAAAAAATTTATTAATATTCCGAAATACTTGAGTTCTTGAATTTACAACAAAAACCATTGATGCCGGTGGTAACAACATAATTATGCAATGCAGACATTTGCGAAACAACTGAAAATTTTTGTCATCAGATTGTAGTAAACGAAAAATTACTAAAGCAAACAATAATTTTTACGGAAATTTAAATAAAATAAAACAATAAATTGTTAAATAATTAAATTAAATATTTATTATTATGATAGAAACATAACTAAATTAAACAGAAAGTTAGCACTTTATAACATGCATTCAAATTAGAATATTTTGCAAGAAACTTTAATATCAGATTTATGTTCAGTAACGAAAAATATTTTACTAACTGACAAGTTAAAAATAAGCTAGTATAGAAGCAGATTTAATGTTAGGAAAAGGTTTTGTTTATGTAATGGAAAAATAATTTAAAAAACAAAACAAAACTAACACAAAAAAAGCAAACTGTTTCAAAATCAATTTATTCCAGAATATACCAAAATGCAAAGATGGTAATGTCACAAAATTTTGATTAATTTGACACTATTTTCAGTAGTTTTTTAAAGTTTCTAATAACATATAAATTAAGTTTATATACATAAAAGGATAGATAATACTTTGTAAAAGTTTTTTACACAGCTTTAAAAGAAATTTATTAGTGTTGTCATACAACTCTTTTTGAAATATATATCCGACACTATATTCTCCGAAATAAACCACTATGCTCGATTTCTAAAGTGGTTTGAAAAAGGGATTCAGAAATGTGCAGAAAGAACCCTGCAGCTGGAATTTAATTCTAAGGGAAAAAATGTGACATTTTTTCATATAATCTACATTGGATTTCTAAAATTAAAATTTAATGTAATTGTTTTTTAAAACAATGGCTCATTTTTTCTAAGAAACGAGGATGCAAACAAACTGTTTGCATCTTCGAAACATCGAAACAGAGCACCGGAAAAGTGATCGATCACCTAAACGTTTTCAATAAATTCATGAATAACGTTATACTTTTTTTTGCGTCCTGATGGTTGCTTAAACATTTTTTGGTGTAATTTGCTCGTTAAATTCTCAAAAATGTTCTATTTAATGTAAAAAAAAAGCTTTATATATCAGCAATTTTATTGCTGTATAAAATTTTTTTATGTATAATTAAAAATTATATCCATTGAAAAACATCCAACATATCATTTTGTGCTTGCTTTTTCCATTGTTTTATTGAATCATTAAAGTTCGACTGTTTTAAGTTTTAAACTTATTTACTTCTTTATATTGTACATCTCGTAAATTTGTATGTCCTACATAAAACATCAAACGTTTTTTTTTTAAAGAAATTTACTTGTATTATTAGTTTCAATCATTGGAAAGAAAATTTTATTTAATTTTAATAAAAAATGCAAATCAAATGGGAGATTTTATAGAAAAAATCCCAATAAAAAAAATTTTCTAATCACAACTCTCAAGCATTCTTAACTTGTGCAACAAGAAAATTAAAACCTGAACATTCGAAAGAATACACCCTAATCCATCTTCTTAAACAATAATAGTTCTTCACGGGCGTTCATTTGTATGAGGGCCAACACTACAGCAGGTGATCTCTTTGACGTTTTAAAAGGCGTTTGAGAAACTGAAAAGTTGTTTTAAACAGCCTCTAAGATAGATTTATTATTTCCAGAAGAGTTTGTGGGGTGACTACTTACTCGAGAGCCAGGAGGGAAGCTATCTTCCAGGCCAGTTATCTATAGACAAGAGGAAAAGGGAACTGATAGGCCATTTTAGAATCGTTTATGTAGAAACAGATTAATTTAATTTAATCCTGGATAAGTTTCACCATAAGGGAATTAGAAACTCCCTTACAACGAGCTAATTCGTCTGTCCAAATTAATATTACACTCTGAGAAAAATTAGCTCTCTGATTCGCGGTAGTTTAACTTTTTTACGACTAAGGGAAACACACATTTTCCCCATTTTAAAATTGATGATTGTCGTATTTAATTTTATAACCTTATCAGCATTTTTTATGCAGGATGTTAAAATAGAACGTATGCCGAACGAAATTACATAAACGGGATGTTTAGGGGGAAAAAACTATCAAATCAATATTCACTAAAAATAAAACTTTCGTTCGCTGATATTTATTATTTATTTCAGTCTATTGTGTCGTGTAACAATATATTACTCTATTTTCTCACATGTTTTATATATTATTCGATAAGTACAATGTTGAGCAATAACAAAACATATTTTAAAAAAAATGAAGACAAATGCCTGATAATGACAAATAATTCTATGGGGAAAATAATTCTCTCTGGTCCATAAGGGAAATTTTTAGTAATTATTTTTTATGTCTTTTTCTTATGATTTTAATTTATTTTACGTCTAAGCAAACAAAAGTAAAGCTTTACACATACTAATATTTACTCTTAGCAACCTAATGGTCCTGTAGGGGTTAAAAGATTTCTCATATTTTAAAAAATATTTGGGAAAGATATTTAAAGAAGCGTATGAGCAAGATTTATTGTAAGATTATTCGAGTTTTGTGATTCATCTCAGATATTGCTCTGATATTTTATTACCCAGATTTATTGAGTAGCGGAATTATTGAGGTATGGAATACCAGATCGAAGCCCTGTGGCTGAGTGGTAGCTTCCATGCCACAAGTGGAATTTTTCAAGGGGGAAGGAGGAGGTCCAGGGTCAAAAGTCCACTATTCTCGTATCATGCTGCAATACACCGCCCAACATATTCTTGTGATTTTCGGAAACAAAAAACGGTAAAAAATTAATTATTGAATGAATAAGTAGCATTAATTAATAAAATTAAGTAACTTAACTCAGTGGCGCGACTGC